TAGAATAATGACTTGTACAAATGAGATCGCTTACATACATATCTCAGGATCTCAAGTAAAAATCAGTCAAATAATTATTCTCACCTCGAAAAAATCTCCCCGGAGTCTCTAGTTCCATCGTAGGAACAATGCAATAACATTTCTGCAAAAGCACTGTCTGTAGTGTTACCGAAACCCATTGTTGTTTTCCTTGCCCTCCATAAATCATACACAGACTCTCGAAGTCGAATAACCTTTGCCGAGCCGGGCAGACCCGGCCTTCCTCTAGACCGCTTCTTCGGCGGCATCAACTTTTCAAATGACGTTTTTCACCGTCATACATGTAAGAATTAAAAACTATTTACTGATATGGATACTACGATAGTTTGTTGTTCGCACATGATTCAAGATGGAACTTTGAAAGCCCTAATTAGTAAGATGGAAGAAGATATCAAAGCGATTCCGCAACTTCGAGGAAAATAGCGCATTTTTCATATATGAAAAATGATCTGGGCGCGCAAGGCATCTCGGATGGAAATGGGCCTTTAAAGACCAAGAACGTCATGACTCTGGTAATGTTCCTTTCAAAAAACTAAAAATATGCCGATTATGCTAACAATGCTACTTTAAGAAAAAGTGCAATAAAACTATGCTCGTTTTTCCAAATTATGCCAAAATTTATGCTAACACAATCGATAAGGTCTACTACTGATGAGATATGGATTTTTGAAATCCGCAATGGTTTTCTCAGCTGGAGACTGGCACTAGCAACAGATATCCATTTTTGTCCCGATAAGTTGTTCTGGGGATAGGAGAGCTGGTTTCTAGATCATTCTTCAAAGCACGAATTTTAAAACAACAGGTTTGACTTGATTGAGATTCGCACCTTTTGAAGAGAAAACCTTAAAAATATGTTTGGATTTTGTTTCTTGTCTTTTTGACAATCATTCCGAACGCTCGTTGGATATGAACCGTTGAATTGTCCATAACCAGATGTGAATGAAATCTATTTTTAACAATTGGATTCCCATACTTGTTGTGTGAGTTTACAAAATTTGTTTTCACACTCAACGTTTTCCAGATCGAAACGGAAGATAGTCAGTGCTTCTTCTGACTGCCAAAATGGCAAAATTTTCAGTTGAAATTTGCATCGCTTTACGACCGGAGCTGAATGAACTTCCAAGCGCTAAGCAATTTGCATGGTGGGATCTGAATATTAAAATGAAATATAGCGATATCAAATATATCAAATCCAAGAAATGTTTATAGGAACAAGAAACATCCAAGAGATGCATTGAACTGTGTTTGAGTTCCAGCCCATAGAAAGGTGATTAAAGTAGCTTAGCTGAGTAGAAAGACCCTGCTAGCTTACTTAAGTTTGACGAGTTTTTAACACAAGACAAGTTGTAACACATATTATTTGATTAAGGATACTGTTGCACGTTTTTCCATAAAAATCAGCGAATGTGTCATCAAATTCTTCCTCTGTTGGCAGTATAGATCAGCGACTGCGAAACGAACAAGTAAAGAGTTTAAATGCTTTTTCGGTTGAAATTCTAAAATGATTGGAAATGCCTAAGACTATGTAACGGAAAACAAAACAGTTTATGAATTTACCTGTAGCCTTTGAGTAGTAGTCTGGTCAGCTGTAGGACAAGATGGCTTCCAGTCTAGTAACGTTCTTCTGAAATATGAGCTGTTAATGGTTATTTGTTGAAGTGGCCGTTAGTAACTCAGCCTTTCCCTACCACGGATCCACGGCCCTACATGCAAGTTTGAGCCGCGAGTGAACTGCAGCACCACAATTACTACCTGAAAAAAAAAACACACACAAAAAAAACAACAACAAACAACAACAGCAATACTAGGTGGTTTAGTCTCCTAAAAATCGTTAAGCTTGTATAGATCACCATTAGCCTGGAATCGTGGCTATTCTAGTGAGTATGCCGTCTCTTTTTGCAGTTGCTGTTAAAGAATGCATTTTGTAGGTTTCATAATTCGGTTTCTTGCTGACGTTGGGATCTCTTCAGTCCTATTTCCTAACTAAGAGCGTGCCCCCTGACTGAGTAAAATAATAACTTCTCCTTTTGTGACTTCTCCCATTGAATTGAATTTATATTTGCAGTTTAAACAATGAAGTATGGGGATGAGATTGCGCCATTTTTGATCGTGAACTTCTTAGTTAAAGATATGCATTTCTCCTTGAAAGAACGGAGATTTCCTGCCAATGCTCTTAGCAGTATAGGTCAATGCAAATTATAGATAAAAACGAAAAAACCACCTACGACACATATCATTTTTCGATTCATTTATTTCTTTGTTGTTATTTCAAGACTCGCCTGAAGCAGATCAATCAGATGTCATACGTTGGAGTTCACACCTGGAAAAGCATTTCAAGGCAAACGCCGAATAAAACACGTGACTCGCATCGTTAAAGTCTTGGTGAAGGAGTTTTGTAAAAATATGTGTTCTACGGAACCTGACTGCGTTGGCTTTAATCTTGATAACTGAGTGGGAAAAAACGGGCAGTACAAATATGAATTGAATAATGTTACTCACGAAGGACACGAGCACGAACTGAAGAAGGAAGAAAATCAAAATTAACATGCAGCAGAGGTGAGTGTTATTTTATGCTACCAATACAGTTTCAGGAAAGCAATTACGATTCTGATTATCTTTATATTTCATTACATTAATTATATTAGTACAATTATCATTTCTGACTTCTTCCCTAAATGTACATATATATTAAGTTACCAACCTATCAGATTCTGATCAAATTATTAATTAGAGACAAACTGCAATGGATAATTCAACGGGTCAACCAGTAAACTTAATATTTTCTTGTATAATATTACGGTTTTAAATTTTTCTTCTTTTGCGCTTTAGAGCGCTTGCGTTCAAAACCTCTGGAAGAATAACGCCACTTGTCAAAGTGGTTTTGACGACAAAGAATATCGTTGTCTTTGTACTGCTGGATTCAAAGGTCAAAACTGTGACAAAGGTAAACCTCGTCAATAATTGGTCAAAGTTGAAAATTGGCACACACACTTGTGGGCCCATAATACAAACGATGGCTTCCATTTTTCTTCATTGACAAAGTGACAGACATTCACTTTAAACTAGGGAGCGCTTTGAAATCCAGGTCATCGACACAAGATATGGGTCACATTCCTGCTTATAACTCACTTACCAGCTTCAAATCGCTGTCAGTGAATGATGTACGGCGCATTATTATGCGATCTTCTAAGAAGTCATGTTCACTTGATCCTGTACCCACGTCACTGGTAGTTGAGTGTATGGATTTTCATTTGCCTGTAATTACGTTAATTATTAATTCATCTTTGCAGTCTGGTCATTTCCCTGAATTATGGAAGGAGGCAATAGTAACACCTTTATTGAAGAAGTGTGGATCTGACCCGTCCAATTTTAAGAATCTACGCCCTGTCAGCAATTTATTCTATATTTCCAAGCTCACTGAGAGCGCTGTCGCAGACCAGATTCAGTTACACCTGGCTAAGAACAATTTTTATCCAGAATTCCAGTCTGCATAAAGGAAATTACACAGTACGGAAACCGCTTTGGTGAAAGTTTACAATGACATTCTGTTTAAGATGAATAAACGGCGCGCGACTCTCCTCGTTCTCTTAGACATGAGTGCTACCTTTGACACTGTTGACCCTATCATTTTGCTAACACGTTTAAGATCAAAACTAGGTCTCAATGGAACTGCTCTGTTGTGGTTTCGTTATTATCTAGCCGGAAGATCACAACGAATATCTGTTCAGGGAGCCCTTTCAAATGTCTTTCATCTTCGTTGTGGCGTTCCCCAGGGATCGTGTCTAGGCCCCGTTTTGTTTAACATATACGCAAGCAAAATCTTCGACATTGTTGGTCGTCACCTTCCAAAACGTCATTGTTATGCAGACGACTCCTAGCTTTATTTATCGTTCAACCCAAGCTGTGCTGTTGGTCAAGACGAAGCAATTAGATCAATGGAGACCTGTATCTCGGATGTTAAGCAGTAGATGACCACAGACAAACGTATGCTTAATGACGAAAAAACTGAATTTATTGTAATAACATCACGACACTTCCTGAAAAAAGCTGCTGTTAATACTATCAGGGTCGGAGACTGCGATGTAGGCAAAGTGTCTGTGGTACGGAATTTGGGCGCGTGGTTCGATGATCAAATCACTATGGCCGTACACATTACCAAAATATGCAGTGCTGCTTTCTATCACCTACACAATATTAGACGTATAAGGAAACATCTTTCAATGGACTCAGCTGCGACTCCTATTCACTCCTTTATTAGTAGCCGAATAGACTACTGTAATAGTCTATTATACGGTGTGCCCAAGTGCCATATTGACAAATTACAGAGAGTTCAAAACGAAGCCGCCAGACTTGTTATGCAGGGAAAATTTTGCCACATTACACCAGTGCTCCGTCAGCTGCATTGGCTTCCTGTCTCATTTCGTATTAATTTTAAGGTTCTACTTTTAACTTTCAAAGCCATTCGCAAATCCGCACCGTCCTATATCAATGATCTTGCAAAATTAAGCCTTAGAATTCAAGATATGGACTGCGTTCTAATGACGGAATACGGCTATCTTACCCGAATTTTAAAACTCTAAAAACCCTAGGCGACCGTGTTTTCGTTGCTTCGGCGCCGAAAATCTGGAATGATTTACCTTCGGAAATTAGAATGGCTAAATCTGTCGACACTTTTAAAAAACTCGTAAAGACGCATTTTTTTAGTAAGGCTTTTTATTCTTAGCTAGTTCAGCTTTTAATATTTTATACTAAACATGATGTAACTGGTATCTATTGTAATGCATTGTTGTAATGATGTAATTAGTATTTATTTCATGCATTGTTGTTATGATGTAATTAGTATTTATTCCAGGCATTGTTGTAATGCGCAGTTGATCATTCCGTCATGGAAACGGCGCAATATAAATTCACAATTTATTATTATTATTTTGTCTCGATAATAAGCTCAGATAATTACCCACGGACATAAAATCATGTCCAAGAAAAAAAAAATGTGAGCATATTTTCAAGCTAAATGGCGGCTACTGAGTCTATCGACATTCATATTCATTTGCATGGCCTTAAATAAAACACTTACGAGCAGGTTACCGTCCAACGTTAACTTGAGATATATTTGTTTCGTCTGCTATGACAAGTGAACTTATAATTACGTGCGAAAATTGGAGCAGATATACACTGATATCGGGATAATGGTGAATCGGCGAAGTTTCAAAGTAGACATTAATTTTTTCAAGCCAAAAATAGAGGTGGTTGCATTGCAAGAAAGGGGCTGACACAGACGACACTTTATACCAATTTCCGTTGAAAAACAACAGTAGCCTTGAAAATACTGACTTAACACATATTTAATGGTGATCTAAATTAAATGTATTCTCTTATTGCGTAAGATCCGAACACGGCTTCCATCTACTTAGCATAACTGCATAAGCTCCCCTGGCAAACTGCATTACTTAGAAAAATTTCAATTTATCTGACAATTTGACGCAAATATATTACTGATCCATTAATTCATACAAATATGCGTCATATATATGCCAATTACCTTAGATTGTTATTCTCCTCATCATGGGTCTTTCTTTTCTTTCGTGTAAAGAAATTCTCGATATTCAAAGGCAAGTCATTATTCATAGATATGCTGTGATCGAGGTATAAGAATGGCGAAACAATAATAAAGTAGACTCCTGCCACAAAGCAATAGGACACAACGACAACTGAAGAGGTTCCATCTCTCCCCAGTCAGAAAACTATTACACATGTTATTGATAAATAAAAAGAAGACAATTATTTACAGATTTTGATGTGTGTGCTAAGGGCTTACACAACTGCAGTTTTGATGCTGTGTGTAACACCATCAAGGGTTCTTACAAATGTACATGTAAACCAGGATACCATGGAGATGGATTTACGTGCGCAGGTGAAAATTTCATAGTATGAATTATATGATAACATAGCTCGAGCGCTCATCCAATTGACCCAACGTGGTGGTTATCCATCGCAAATGTTCTCACAACCAAGAGCGATGGTTGTACTGTAAGAACATCACTCCGAAATTTTGTGTGGTTTTTCGTTCGCTGCATACTAGGAAGTTGTCCTTCTCCACCTTCCCTCGTTTCTCCCAAATATTTTATTTATATAATTAGATTTATGCTACAGATTTTGATAAGCCTATTAAGGGCATGAACATTATCAATTTTATGTACGTATTTCTACAAATATACATCAACGATATACTTACTACCTTTGTAATTAATTGTTATCAATAGATTTGTTGGAGTCAAGGTGCAAGAATGACAAAACAATAATATATCAGTCCCCTTCCACAATTTTATGAAACATAATGACAACCGAGGAGGTTCCATTTCTCCCCTGTGCAAAAACAACTTACGCGATCATGACTTTGGAAACTTATTACATATGCTATTCGTAAATAAAACAACTAAAATACTTTTCAGATGTTGATGAGTGCGCTGAGGAATCACACAGCTGCAGTACCGACGCTGTGTGTAACAACACCGGGGGATCTTACAAATGCGCATGTAAACCTGGATACCAGGGAAATGGATTGACTTTCGAAGTTAAAATTTTCAAAGTGTAAGTAATATGATGACATAACTCGCGCGCTGATCCTGTCTGATCCAACGGAGCCAAACAAACATAAACACGTGATCATCTCAGTTCCTGACGAAATACTCAAAACTCTGAAGTTTAACGTCCACCGTGAACGAGTTTAGAGTGGACTTGTAAATCTTGGGTATGGAAAGAGCTGATAAAAAGGTGAAAAATAAATAAATAAATAAATAAGCTTACCTGATCATATGTTAATAATAATAATAATAATAATAATAAAAGATTTATACCGCGCCAGTATCCTACTGTTCAAAGGTGCCTACAAAAACTTTAGCATTAACACTTACTTATAAAAGGCTTTTCTAAAAAGAAAAGTTTTTAATCTACTTTTAAAAACAGACACAGACTGAGCATTTCTAATTTCACATGGCAAAGCATTCCATAATGATGGTGCTGCTACAGAAAATAATACACTTTTTATTGACGAATAAAACAAGAAAAATTATTTTCAGATGTCGACGAGTGTGTTGAGGGATCACGCAGCCGCAGCGGTAATGCTGTGCGTAACAATACCAAAGAATCCTACGACTCTACATGTAAATCTGGGTACCATGGAGAGGGATTGAATTGTGAAGATATAATTTTCAAAGTAACAGTAATCTGATAACAAAGCTCAAGCGCTGATCATGTCTGATCCAATCGAGCCAGCATGGTGAGAGGCTCTACTGTGAGAATACCACTCCGAGATTTTGACAGGTATTTCGTTCACTGCATACCTCGTAGTTGTCCTTTTTCGCCCTTCCTCGCTCTGCCCAACTTTGTTTTAACTAATTAGCAACATACCTTTTAATAAACTTATTAAGATAACTTTTCAAGCTTCCAGCTTTACTCCAAAATTTCAATAAAATAGCTGGCATTTTCCGAGAAACTGCTTCTCGTTAGTTTCGAACTAGTCGTACTTATTCTGAGGAGTATACGCATTAAGGCATCTACTCATCAGATTGGGGTGGAAGATTTAAACAAATAGAGCTCAATTATATGCGGAAAGCCTTTGTAATTCTGCAATTCATCTTATTACCGGTCCATTTCATCCGTGTGCAGAAATTTACAAAAGTCAAAGGTACATCAAATTTGTGAAATTTTTGATTGTTTTCAATATGACATCAATTTTGATGATTCCTTTTTAAGCTTAAGGTTAGGGTTAAGTTCGGAAGACCCTAAACAAAGGTGCAACATTGTATCTGTTTGTGCAAAAAAAACAGGTCACTTTTGACTTACAAAATCTTTCTTTGATCTTCAAACAAAAATGTTGCCATTACACAACGAACAAGCTATGTAAGGTGTTTTACAATAATTAAATACGACAAGCATGACATATTTTCTCGTTTGCTTGATGAATCTGTCAAAGTTCCCTGCACGAGCCTTCTTTACAATTTATTTAATTTTTTTCGTCATCTCTCAGAAATCAGGCTACCTAGGAGACTTTTAAAAGCTTTGCTGCATAATAAGTATACTTTGCTGAATGAGAACATTTCAAATACCAACCATAACTCATCATGCGAAGGTCAACGTTTACTGTCACATGACTGATGACGGTGGATGATGGTAATGAAAATGGACGGCAAAAAGGTATCTCGTCTCTCGTCACTATTACCCGTAAGTCAAATGTTCTAGGTAAAAGGGAAAATTTGACATGTGACTTTTTATGAAAGGAGATATCATCATTATGCGGGGAAACTATCTCCTAATCTTTAAAAATTTTCATAGCTTTTACCACCTCCATAACTGAACCTTCTACATTACGTCGCCCTAGAGGGATCATCACCCTCAGACTGTAGATTAAAAAGGGGAAGATGCTTTTAAAATAGGAAAAGAAACTCTTTCGAGCTCTAAATAGAAGGCTTAAAGAAAAGATAAGCGCAGTTTC